TACTCCTATGAACAATCCCTTCAAGCCTCCTCTGGCACACGGGCTGCCCCTTGGGCCTCCCCCATGCTTTCATTGATCTAGTTCAGGCTGCTTCTTCTTTGGCTCTGGGCTGGGCTGTTCTTCGGTCCTTTGCATAAACTGCTACTGGCACCTCCTGGTCACGGATCAAACCACAGCCTTGGAGCCTATACTCAGGCTGAAGTCCACCCACCACGCGGCTAAATGCTCGGTGCTGCTCCCAACTTATACCTACATGTTCAGCTTCCTCTGCGGAGAGGGAACAGCTACCCTTCCTCAGGGGCCACCTCTTTTAGGAGGTCCCCCCGCTGAGCCCTGAGCTGCAGCTCCTGTCACCTTACAGGCTCTGGGTAGGTTCACCGCACCCCGACACACTCATCTCCTCGGCCCTTCGGACCTGAGCAGAGTCTTTCCCCAGACACCCCAGGTGGTTCCCATCAAATGGCCCTGTCGTCCCTCCGTACTGTCCTCCAGTTGCTCTCACCACCACCGCCCACTAGGCCCCGTCACTGACAGGATGTTCACCCCTCCCAGGCGTCCTCTCAAGTCCTTACACATCAGTATTACCAGGCATCCTCGGAGGCGGAGAGGAGAGGATGCGGAACCCCAGCCCTGGCTCAGCCAGGACACCTTGTTCTATAAAACACCTAATTTTTTTACCCACTATAAAAATAATCCAAGTGATCGCAGTAATTCAGGACAAGCATCTAAGAACATAAACACCCAGAGGGAGCCTGTTATGACTCAGTGGAAACAGTCTGTATGTGATACTGATTCTCCTCTAATATATATGTTTAGAAAACAATGATTCTGTCACTTCTCTTGCTTAAAGTGCCTAGAAACTCTTTACTTTGGCATTCTCATGACTGCTAGGCAGAGCCTAGAGCGACGGCAGCTGCCAGGCAGTGTGACACATGGGGGGCTGGGTGAGCACAGAGGGGGCACGCCGCAGGTGTGGGGAAGAGTGAGTGCCCTCAAAGAGATGGTTAAGCTCTGGCCCCAGGATAAGATGGAATTCCCCGAGAGAGCCGGGGTGGTGGGGCGGAGAGTCCAGGTGGCACCCACAGCACCAGCAGAGGTTCAGAGCGGAAGGGAAGCAGGTGCGCAGGCTGGAAGCTGAAGGAGGGCTGCACACTCAGGCCCACGTGTAGGCCAGCCGGCCAAGGAGCAGAGCCGCCGCATGGAAGGGAACAGGGAGAGCTGCGGACCGTGCACATTGCAGAGCAGGTGCTGGTCTGCACTGCTTTGCAGATGAGAAAACCAAGGGCACACAGTGAGGTGACTTGTCCAAGCACACTCACAGTGCGTGCAGCACCAGGCACTGGGCCTGCGCAGTCTGGCACCAGGCTGGGCGTGGAAGGGGGAACAAAGGGGAAGGCAGAGCAGGGCTGGGGTGGGCAGTGGTGGCTCCCTGAGACCCCGCCCTCCTCTCCCCTAGCTGAGCAGCTCACTGTGGTGGGGAAGATCTCCTTTAACCCCAAGGATGTGCTGGGCCGCGGGGCAGGCGGGACTTTCGTTTTCCGGTGAGTGGCAGCCAGGAGCCAGGCTGGAGACGTGGCTCTCACAGCCCTTCCCACATCGTCCCTTGGAGAGCTGTCCTACCCTTTGCCCTCTCTGAACCTCCATTCCCCCACCTACCAGGGGACAGTTTGAGGGGCGGGCAGTGGCTGTCAAGCGACTCCTTCGTGAATGCTTTGGCCTGGTGCAGCGGGAGGTCCAGCTCCTGCAAGAGTCAGACCGGCACCCCAACGTGCTGCGCTACTTCTGTACAGAGCGGGGACCCCAGTTCTACTACATCGCCCTGGAGCTCTGCCCTGCCTCCTTGCAGGAGGTGAGGCTGGAGTGCAGGGCGGTGTGGGTGAGGGCCGGAGGGGCCTGGGCTGCAGTGACCTTGCCCTTGCTGCTCCTTAGTACGTGGATAACCCAGAGCTGGACTGCTGGGGCCTGGAGCCGGAGACAGCGCTGCAGCACCTCATGTCTGGCCTGGCCCACCTGCATTCTCTACACATAGGTACCCACCCACCCCTCGATCCCCATCTCCCACCCTGCCTTCCCCACCTGCGCTCAGCTGCCTCCCGCTCTCACAGTGCACCGGGACCTGAAGCCAACCAACGTGCTCATCACGGGGCCCGAGGGCCAGGGCCGAGGCAGGGTGGTCCTCTCCGACTTCGGCCTGTGCAAGAAGCTGGCAGCCGGCCGCCGTAGCTTCAGCCTGCGCTCAGGTGTCCCCGGCACAGAGGGCTGGATGGCACCTGAGCTCCTGCAGCTCCCGCCCCCCGACAGCCCGGTGAGTCCTCCATCACCTGGCCCAGGGCCTCCTGCCCAGGCTGCACATCACACTGTGTGAGCTGGAACTTGCTCCTTCATTGTAAAGTGGGCTCATTCATCCTTTCCTACCTAGAGCAGTGATTCTCAACCAGGGACTATTCCACCACCCAGGGGGCCCTGGGTAATGTCTGGAGATATTTTTGGTGACCACACGTGGTGGGTAGGGGGGTGTTACTGGCATCTGGTGGGTAAAGACCAAGGATGCTGCTAAATATCCTTTGACCACGCCCCATAAAAGTTATCAGGCCCAGAGTGTCAATAGTGCCGAGGTTAAGAACCCTGAGCTGAAATGGCTTTACCTCTCCACTGTGCTGCAGAATCACCGGGCAACTTAAAAAAGTCAGCTGCCAGGCCCCATATCCAGTGACCCCAGCCTGATCCGCTGGGGCAAGGCCAGGGTCTTCACATGCAGCAGCGTAGAGAAGCGCTGGGTGGAGGGCTGGGAACATCAGATGAGCGAATAGTCGAAGCAGTGTCTGACCCTACAGACATGTGAGTTTGGGGCCCCAGGTTTGTGTGTGTGGAAGCAACAGTCATGGGCATAGATGACAGCGGCACAAAAGGACAGTCGCTGGGCAAAGCTGCTCCCACGCCTGACGTCTAGAGAAAGCTAGAAGGGGCCACCTGCAGCCCAAGGACAAAGGCACGGCTAGGAGCCTGTCAGGTCCTTTCGCTTTTTAATTAGTGGCCAACGCTTTCACTTTCGGGAAGTTGCACATAAACCTCTGGAGCTCTGGAGCCTCTTGGGAAGTGAAAGCTGTGCCGCCCGAGTGCCCTGGGTGCAACCGGCAGAGCTTAGTGCCAGGCGGCTGTGGACAGGCCCCCCCATCTGTCCTCACCGCTGCCTCCTGCCACACGCCTGGCGGCTTCCCTTCCTGATGCTCCCTGCTACATGTGCGGGAATGGCGTCCAGAAACCCAAGCTAGAAGCTCAGTAGGGGCAAAGATTGGGGTGAAGACCATGGGCCTTCAATGGTGCAGAGGGGAGGGACCTAGGGATAAGGGGCTGCCTCTCAGAGGCATCCCTGAGTTCTCTGAGCCAGACACCCCTGGGAGAGGTAGCCCCGCAGACTCCGGGCGGACTTCCTCCTTACGCCCCTTCCTCCGGCCAGACCAGCGCGGTGGACATCTTCTCTGCAGGCTGCGTGTTCTACTACGTGCTTTCCAACGGCAGCCACCCCTTTGGAGAGAGTCTTTATCGCCAGGCAAACATCCTTGCAGGCGCTCCCTGTCTGGCTCACCTGGAGGAAGAGGCCCATGGTGAGAGGGACCTGACCCAGCAAAGAAGGGAGGAAGCAGGGCATGAGGCTGGGGGCCTAAAGCCACCCCTTCCCCCGCAGACAAGGTGGCTGCCCGGAGCCTGGTGGCGGGCATGCTGAGCCCCCGGCCGCAGGCGCGCCCCTCTGCTCAGCAGGTGCTGGCCCACCCCTTCTTCTGGAGCAGAGCCAAGCAGCTCCAGTTCTTCCAGGTCAGGGGGAACGGAACTGGGTAGCAAGTCCCAAGTGTGGGTCCTGAGCAACAAGAAAGGGGAGGCCAGATTGGCTAAGAGAAAAGGGACTTGTCTACCTGTACTGGGCAGCCCGGCTCCTTGCCTAAACCAAGACGGAGCAGACTCCTAACCGTTGCCATCTTGGCGCTCCAGTCCACTCGTCACCGCCCCCAACTCCTCCCACCCCCTACCCCGCAAGCCGCCCCTTGTGAGAGCGAGCACACCTGCTCCTTTCAGCCGCAGTGGCCACTCGTGGTGAACCTGTGTCCAGGTAGCCCATTCCATCAGCAAGACCCTGAGCAAAGCACCCTGCCCCCGAGCCGGCTTGCTCTGTGAGATGGAGAACAGCACCCACCCCTGGGCTGCTAACGACCTGGTGGGACAACAGGAGGCGGGCTCCTGGCCTTGAGGCCTCGGAAGCTGGTCACAGGCTCAGGAGCTCTATGGGGCCGTAGGACGTCAGTGACTGGCTGGAGAAAGAGTCCGAACAGGGGCCCCTGGTGATGGCGCTGGAGGCAGGAGGCTCCGCCGTGGTCCGGGGCAACTGGCACAAGCACATCACAGTGCCGCTGCAGACAGGTAGAGGCCGGGCACGAGGGGGCTGGAAGGGGAGCCCAATGGGACCGCTCAGCCCACAACTTCCCCGCCCACAGATCTGCGAAGGTTCCGGTCCTATAAGGGGACCTCGGTGCGAGACCTGCTCCGCGCCATGAGGAACAAGGTGCGTCTGGGCTCGGGCGGGCCTGGCTCTTGGGAAGGCTTGGTCTCCGCTTCCGCTGAGCCAGGGCCCTGCTCTAACCCTGCAGAAGCACCACTACAGGGAGCTCCCGGGTGAGGTCCGGCAGGCGCTGGGCCAGGTCCCCGACAGCTTTGTCCAGTACTTCACAGACCGCTTCCCGCGGCTGCTGCTCCACACGCACCAGGCCATGAGGAGCTGCGCCTCCGAGAGCCTCTTCTTGCCCTACTACCCGCCGGCCCCAGGGACCAGGGAGCCATGCGCAGCAGCTGCTGGGAGCGGAGGCCGGCCGGCTGAGGAGCCAGGCCTGGGCTGAGGCTGGCCTCACATGGGAAAATTCCTGCAGAGGCTTGGAAGCCTGGGGATAGATGTTGGAGCAAAGATGTGCCGCGCGCCCAGGTGCCAGACACCCCTCGGAATACAAGAAGAAAAAGGTTCTCATGTGTTTAATGTGTATAAAGGCGGGGAAAGGACAGTCCTGGATCCAACAGCAACATTCTGTACATACAGTGCGGGTGAGAGGGAAGGGAGGGGCCATAGAACCCACACGCAAACATGTACAAAAATAACTTACACAGCAGCCCCATCTGTAATGGCTCTCCACGCCCAGGGCTGGGGCACACTATAAAAACCAGGGCCAGGGGAGCTGACCAGAACGGGCCAAGGTGCTGGTGGGGGTCACGGGGGCACCAGTCCCAAGGGGGCGGGCCTACGAGGAGGCCTTGAGGCGGTTGGTGGCTGAGCGCGAGCTCAGCAGCTTGTCCACCATGGTGCGGGCGTATCGGAGCCGGCTGGCCAGCTCCTTGGAGCAGCCAAACTCCTCCAGGAGGCTCAGGCGGTACGTGCGGAAGTCCCGCTTCTCGTTGATGTAAGTCACGGCGGCCATCAGCGGGCACAGGATGAGCTTGGTGTGGTCCTAGGAGGAAGGAGAGGGACAGGTGGTGACCAGTGAATTGAAGGTCCAGCTGTGTATGTGGGGGGAGCAGAAGGAAGACAGCCCAGCTGGTTGGGGGCCCTCACCCCACTCCCTGCTGCCAAGGGCAGTTCCCACACCTCCCACTCCCCGCCCAACCCAAGCCCCCGGACAGGCACAGACCCCCACGCCCACTCCCGCGGCCCGGCTCACCTGGAAGAAGTTGATCTGCACACAGCCATTGCTGAGGTGCAGGATGATGGCACTGCGGGTGCGAAACCAGGTGCGCAGGTAGGGCAGCCGGGCCAGCTCGTCACCTTCCCGTGGTGTAATATTGGCCCCTGCCTTCAGCAAGTGCTCGCTCATGTAGTTCCGGAAATACTTAAGGAGGGTGATCTAGGGGAGTCAGAAGTCCAGAGTTGGAGCCCCATCTCGGCCCATCTCCCTCCCGGCAGCACGGGCCACACGGGCCGGCCAGCACCCACCTTCTTGACCAAGGAGCTGGGATGGGAATTCACGGTGAGGTAGGACTCTGTGCCGTCACGCTCTATGTACTGCAGGCTGTCTCCGTCGTTGTAGAGGATGAGGCGAGTCGAGTCATTGAAGAGCACCCCCACGCTGTTGTCACACAGTTGGTATCCTAGGGGTAGTGGGGGGAGACCTCAGAAAGGGGAGCAGGGAGCAGGGGGACACGGGGAGCTGGCACTGGAGGTCTGGGATGGAGCTAGGAGAGCTGGGAGAGGACCTAGCAGCCAAAAAAGGCAAGAGGCCGGAACAGGTGAAAGGGTCACAGGCCGTCTGGAGCCACCACCCATTCTGGAAGAAACCTACCAAGGCCGTACTTGTCCGAGTAGTCCACCCACTTGCTGACCCAGAAGATGGGGATGCAGGCGGGATCCTCGGCCTCCTCTGGACGGAAACAGACAGATGATCGGTCAGAACCAGGCTCTTACCCTCAGTGAGCAGCAAGCAAAACCCAGCCTCAGGAGCTTGCACTCTAGCCACAGGGACAGAGACGGACCAAAATAAGTGTGAACAGAATGTTTAAGTTGCTTCCATCATGGTGAGTCAGTGGCTGGCAGATTCTCTAGCTTTCTAGTTTTGAGTGATTCAAATATTGTGAGAAGACAATTCCAAATACATCAAAGTGTTATACACAGTCACCGCAATAACCCTTCTCTAATACAGAAATTCAATATGAAAACTTTAGAGTCTGCGGGATGAGAGGTGCTATAGATCATATAAAGCAGGCACAAGGGATGCCCAGTGCTAGGAGTGGTGCCAGGAAATGCTTGTGAGGGGCCACCAGAGCAGACATCTGAGAAACACGAGTGTGTGAGCCATGCAGAGCTGCAGGAAGAATGCTCCGGAAGTGACAGTGTGCACAAAGCTCTGAGGCTGGAGCACGTCCTGGTCTGTTATTTCAACCGTCTCTAAGGCCAACCAGGAATTCACTGAACAGAAGAAACTGCAGACAGGTGCCCAGGCCGCAGTGAGGTACTGGGAGATGGGAGGCAGAACCCACGAGTCAGAAAGGAAGGGCCAGACCATGGAGGGCCTTGGGCATCAGGCTAACTCATTAGGACTTTAATCTACAGGAAATGAGGGAACTGGACAGATTATGAGGACAGGGGCCTGGCCAAGGCCCACACTTTGCGGGCTGAGACTCCCTGGTCTCTCGCGATGCCTGGAGCAGCCTCGCCCCAGGCGGCTGCAGTGCCCACCTTGCCTGACCAGCCCCCGCTCCGAGGGCTTGGAGGCGTTGACGCTGTGCAGCTGCTGCAGCATATCCCCAAGGTGGCAGTCGACCGCCTCATTGGTCTCCCGGACCGCGGGCTCCTCTTTCTCTCGGGGCCGCTCAGGCATGGGGTTCTCCGTACCTAGGAGATGAGACGTGGTCATTAGCTGGCACCAAGCAGCAGGCTGGGAGGGTACGGGACCCTGTGCCCAAGCTGGTACTCTCTCCCCAGAGAAAATCCCTTTTAGCTGCTATTGATTGCTCTGGGTGAACCTAGTCAGTGTCAGGCTCTTAGAGTTCAGGCTCTCACAGGCACCTGGTGCTCATTAGTACCTCCAGCACCAGGCAAGCCCTTGAGGAAGGATCCACAGCCACACAGAGTCAGACACTCAGAATGACAAGTACCTTCAGCGTCCAGGCAAATGGGAGGGTCAGTAAATGGCAGACCAGCAGGATGAATTAAGCAGGCACTTAACAAAAATGTAAGCGACTGCCCACCCTAAAATGTGCTTTATTTACTTCTATGCCCAACAGCCTGGAAAGACCCACACTGAGACGGGACATTGGTCACATCTGAGTGGTGGAAGCATGGTTTTGTCTTAAGCTTCTCTGTTTAACCCTTTTCCCACCACCATATGCTTATTCCCCTCATGAAATACGAAACCCTTCTTTACAATATTTGCAAATCAGAGTTTTCCATTTTAAAAACGATGCTGTGGTAAAGACTTAAGTGTGAAATATTTCAGATTTGCCTTTAAAACTCTAGCCAAGCCGAAACCGGTTTGGCTCAGTGGATGGAGCGTCGGCCTGTGGACTGAAAGGTCCCAGGTTTGATTCCGGTCGAGGGCATGTGCCTTGGTTGCGGGCACATCCCCAGTGGGAGATGTGCAGGAAGCAGCTGATCGATGTTTCTCTTTCATCGATGTTTCTAACTCCCTATCTCTCTCCCTTCCTCTCTGTAAAAAATCAATAAAATATATTTTTAAAAAAACTCTAGCCAAAAAAAGGAGGAAGATGTGGAATAAATATAGGCAAATGTAACTGACTTTTGAAAATGGATGATGTAATACATGGGGGTTCATCATACAATTCTCTCTACTTTTTAAAAAATATATATTTATTGATTTCAGAGAGGAAGGAAGGAGAGAGAGAGAGAGAAACATCAGTGATGAGAGAGAATCATTGATAGGCTGCCTCCTGCAAGCCCCCCACTGGGGATCGAGCCCACAACCTGGGCATGTGCCCTTGACCAGTATTGAACCTGGGACCTTTCAGTTCGCAGGCCGATGTTCTATCCAAACCGGCTAGGGCCAGTTCTCTCTACTTGTGGGTAAGTTTGAAAATTTCCAGCATAACAAGTTTTTACAAAATGTTTTGTGTTCAAAAATTAAAGGCAAAAGATAAAAAAAGCAATCCCTAGCCTTGACCGGTTTGGCTCAGTGGAGCGCCGGCCTGCGGACTGAGGGGTCCCAGGTTCGATTCTGGTCAGGGGCATGTGCCTTGGTTGTGGTCACATCCCCAGTGGGGAGTGTGCAGGAGGCAGCTGATCGATGTTTCTAACTCTCTATTCCTCTCCCTTCCTCTCTGTGAAAAAAGCAATAAAATACACTTAAAAAAAAAAAAGCAATCCTTAAAATAACACTATTACATGATAGCCCAAAGAATAAAGGCCCATGAGTCCAGACTGACATAACTGAAAAAATAAATACATGGGAGAGAAGCACCAGCTCCTCCTTACAGAAGATTCCCATGAATGAATGTGGCCGGAGCCAGAAGAGAACCATCACGGTCAGAACACCATGGCAACAGCTGCCACAGGCAAGAGCGCCCAGGAGTGCTAGCGTCAGTGGGCGGAGCCTGAGGAGCAACAGTCTCAGGGAAGCCCTGGCAGGCGCGTTTTAATCATCAGAGAAAATGGTGCTGATGCAGAGAAGCCCTTCAGACCCACCAAGACCAAGTGATCAAGACCGACATCTGCCCTGGCCTGCGGGGCTCAGTGGTTGAGTGTTGACCCATGAACCAGGAGGCCAGCTTGGTCCCCAGTAGGGGGCATGCAGGAGGCAGATGGTCAATGTTTCTATCTCTCTAAAAAATCAATAAAAACATTTTAAAAAAAGAAGAAAGACTGATATCCCCAGTAAAAGAAATGTCAAAAAATTAACCCCAAGAGAAAAATAGATAATCCTTAAAATAACAGTATTAGGTTATAACCGAAACAAATGAACTTATACATTAAATTGGCATATATTAAATTGATGCTATATCCACACAGAGAAGAAAAGTATTTCAAGTGATCTTTTTTTTCACACTATATTATCTTTTTTTAAAAAAATATATTGATTTTTTACAGAGAGGAAGGGAAAAGGATAGAGAGTTAGAAACATCGATGAGCGAGAAACATCGATCGGCTGCCTCCTGCACGCCCCCTTGTGGGGATGTGCCTGCAGCAAGGTACATGCCCTTGACTGGAATCGAACCTGGGACCCTTGAGTCCGCAGGCCGACGCTCTATCCACTAAGCCAAACCGGTTAGGGCCACACTATATTATCTTTAGTGAAATATATTCCAAGGACAAATAGAACTACAAGAAAATAAAACATTCATTTAACAAAAGGAACTAGTTTATATATGTTTAAAAATGTATGTATATTAAAGTAGGGAGAGAAGATTTTCAGTTGAAAAGAAATACAAACATAAAATCAAAGAAGTAAAAACCCTAAAACATTATTTAGAATCACTTATAAATTACCAAAAGAAAAGCAGTAACTTCACAGTAGAGAAAAAGATTGCTATAAAACAAGATCATATCAACATTAAATTTCCTGAACCTGATAACTGCGCCATGTGCTGTGGTTTTGTAAAAGAATCTTTGTTTGGGGATATATACATTGAAGTATTACGTTGTAAAGACTAGAGTATATAACTCACAAACAGTTCAGAAGAAAGAGAGGGAGGGGAGGAAGAAAGAGTACTGATGAAGCAAATGTGAAAAAAATATGTGAATTGTGGGTCTGAGTAAAGTGGATATAGGAGATTTTGTCTCTTCTCACACCTTTTCCCAAGTTTGAAATATAACAAATAAAATGTTGAAAAAATGTGAATTGGGCCCCTAGCCGGTTTGGCTCAGAGGATAGAGTGTCTGTGGACCCATTCCATACCCTGGCCTACGCCCTGGTCAGGGCGTGTGAAGGAGGCAACCAATCAATGTGTTTCTCTCACATCGATATTTCTCTCTGTGTTTCCCTCTCTCTTTCAATCAATGGAAAAATATCCTCAGGTAAGGATTAACAAAAAGAAAAAAGAAAAAATGTGAATGGGAAATATCACCATAAACTCAAGCCCTGCCCCCCTCCCCCACATTAAGTATTTCCTAATTCTGTCCTCTGAGGAGACCTAGAAACAATAACCACCTAATCAGTGGCGTGTGGTTTGACAAGATGTCCATCGTTTTGAAGACAGACACACTGAAGTTTATAGGGCATAAAACGCTACGGTGCCTGCTATTGACTTCAGAGGAACAAAACAGGAGATGCAGCACACGTGGCTCACTCTTAGTGACAGGAACCTGCTGGGTGCTCAGGAGTCCACTGCCCTGAGTTCCATGTGGACATTTGAGGTTTCTCATATTTTTCTCAATGAACCATACAGGAGTGATGGCTAGAATTTTTCGAATAAGAATTTCTCAGGTGTGCCGCTAAGTCCACTCTGCTCTCTTTGGGCCTGACAGGTGTGATCAGCAGTGCAAGGTCCAGAGCCTGTCCTGCTGCACCCCACACTCTGGGCCACCCACCCACACACTGGAAGCCTAGGTTCTTTGCGAGGAGGGGCCTGTTGTCTGCCCAGGCCTTGTTTTACCTTTATTGAGGACTGAGAGAGGCTTCCGGCCGCTGGGGTCCAAGCTGCTGGGAGCAATGGAGAACCTGGGGGGGACGGTGAGGCAGGTGACGGGCAGTCGGGCGGGGATGTAGCCAGAGGTAAAGAACTCATCGCTGAGCAGCTCGTGGATGGTGGGGCGGGCGGTGGGGTCGCTCTGAAGCATCTTCTGAATGAGGGAGGCGGCCACGGGGTTGATGTGCTGGAGCAGAGACAGGGAGAGCCATAAGCCACGTGAGGAGCCCCGGTGCAGCACCGCGCCAGGACCTGCAGCCTGTTCCCCATGCAGCTCCGTCAGCGCTACAAACAATGCCAGTTCCCCCTGTCAGCTTTGCTGAGTTGACAAGCCGTGAGAATGGTTAGTCTCCCTTCCTCTCGAAACTCAAGATGGAGCCGAGGTCGATCTGTCCCTGAGTTTGCTCTTGCATGATTCCAGCTCTCCCCACTAGACGAGCACTCGAGAACACAGGCTTTGGGGTCAGAGACCTGGTGTAAGTCCCAGTTCTGCCCACAACACCAGCTGTGACGAGTATCTTCATCTATAACATGGGGGCACGGTGCCAAGCCTGGAGCCCCGGTGAGAAGGTTCCGTGGGCGATAACCCAGCATGGGTCAAATGCACAGTGACAGCTAGCATGAACTCCACACCCACTGAGTGCCAGGAAACTCCTCAGCACACCCTGCTATCCACCCAGTTAACCTTCACAGAACATGTGCGGGGGGAGACCTGTGACCACCATGCTCTTGCAGACGAGGAAACTGAGGCACAGAGGTTAAGTGCTAAGAAAACACAGTAAGTGGCAGAGCCAGCACCCACACAGGGGCAGTCTAGCAGCTCGAGGACCCACACTCTGAACCCTTCCATGCTGCGCCCATCTGACAGTTAACTGACCCTTTAGGACACTCTGTCTTCATGGGGACAGGGCTCTTGGCTGCACACAAGGCAAGAACACTAAACAGGAAAGCGGCCATGGGCCAGGTGCATTTTCACACCACGGTGGACTCAGTGATCCACGACTGTGAGCACCTGCTGTATGCGGGGCGCCGTGCGAGGTGCTGCGGAGGCAGCGGCTCCGCTCAGACAGGGCCACAGTTCAGAAGGGCCAGGCCACTGGCCCATCCGCATCAAGTCCACTGCCGAAGCTTATGCAGCACGTCTCCTTCTGCCTCCTACTGCCTTCCCATCTTTTTGGTGTTTGTTTTTCCTCTGAAATCTACAAACTCCCTTCCCCTGGAAAAAATGCTTTTGTGCACAGATGTTCCGTTCTGGATGCAGTTTCAGACACGGACCCTCGAAGGCTCTGAGGCTAGCTGAGGTGTGGAGTGGACCTCTCTCTGTGTCCCCAGCTTCTAGCCGGGCTCAGTAAATAGCTTTGGGGGCGAGGGGGTAACAAAACATAATCAAGTTCAACTCCAAGTGCTTTTAGTCACCTTGGGAATACTGTACTCATTCTTCTTGATCCGGAGGTAGGTCTCTTTTAGGCAAGATGTCTCAAAAGGTGGTTTGCCCACTAGCAAGGTATACCTGTAAGCACAAGGTGGAATTTGGCTCAGTTCTCAGCCAAAACAGATGCAGAAGGAATCAGCTCAGGGCCAGAGCGAAGGCCAGGCATCCTCTGGACACTCACTCTGTCCCTGAGGACAGTTTCCACGCCCACGGAGCAGCCCAGAAACCAGAGAGAGCCCGCAGTAGATTAGAGGTGATGAGAACAGGATTCTTGTGGGCCAGAGATTTTTCAGCAAAAGTCCGCAGTGTTCTAGGGTACCAGAGGCCGCCAGCTGATACAGAACAAGTCAAGAAGGGGGCTGCCGCGCCTGCAGAGGCAGCTCTGTGTTTAATAGTTCTGTACTTAAAGCCTGAAGTTTCCATTTGAAATAGCTCCACTGAAAAAAAGTATGAAGGCGGCCATTGCCACAACTCATTTCTGACTCCGGTCCCCAGGCCAACAAAGTCACACCTGAAAAGGTGCTTTCCTACCACTCAGCTCCAATGGCCTTGGCCCACGTCCTCGCACCCAATGCTGCTTTCTAGATCAGTGGTTCTAAAACTTTTGTGCATGAGATCAGCCAAGGACTCGGTTAAAATCTGGATTCTGATTCGGGTTCTCCATTTTGAACAGGTTTCTAAGTGATGGTGTTGCTGGTCTGTGGGCCACACTTTGAGCAGCAAGGGGCCCGGCTGCAGGAATGCTACAGCCTATACCAGTGTCAAGAGGAGATGCGGAATTAGGCTGTTTTGGGGTAGTCTGCCCTGGGAGCAGCCTTTTCATAGGCAGATCCGTTCACAGGTGGGATTTCCAAAAGAGCCCCTGCTGAGGCCAGGGGGTCCCCCAACTTACATAATGCACCCAATGGACCACACATCCACCTCGAAACTGTGCCCTTTCTTGCTCAGCACCTCAGGAGCTATGTAATTAGGAGTTCCGCACAGGGTCTTCTTCCTTTCCCCGTCATATTCGACCTTGGTTGCCAGTCCAAAATCCCCTGGGACAGAGGGAGGAAGGGGCGGTCCTCAGATGCTAGCCTGTCATCCGTCAACACAGACTACTGCCTTTATGGATCCTGTTGGACCCCCGAGAACCAGGGTCATCTGAGCCCTCAAGCTCTCCTCCTTGTATGCAGCACGGCCTCCCCAGGAATCGCCCCACCATGCTGGCCCAAGCAGGGGGCCTCTCAATGACCCTCCTAACCCCTCCTCTTAGAAAGGAGGGCTAAGCTTCTAAAAAGGAACTGACAGGGGTAGAGAAACTAAGGGATCAAGCAAGTAAACTTCAAGACTGCTACTAGGCAAGCTTGTGAGGAATAGGGAGGGATTGGGACTGTGGCCAACCAGAGGGAGTTTTAAGGGAACAGTTCCTTTTTAGCCCAGCAAAGAGCTGCCCTGAGGGAATGCTGTCCTTGTAATGCTGGAGTTTTCAATTGTTTAAAAAGAGCTGCAGTGCTGGCCAGTGTGGCTCAGTTGGTTGAGCATCATCCTGAGCACCAAAAGGTTACTGGTTTGATTCCCAGCCAGGGCACATGCCCCACCTGCGGGCTGTCCTGGTCGGTGTCTCACAGCCAATCGATGTCTCACAATCGATGTTGATGCTTCCCTCTTTCTCCTCCTCTCCCTTACTCTCTAAAAATCAATTTAAAATCTTTAAAATAAATAAATGAAATAAAAGGAGCGCTAATTCAAAACTTGTATGTTCAGCCTACCAATTTTAAAAATGGAAAAATCATTTAAATTCTTTTTTAAAAAAATATTGTCAGAAATAACAAGTGTTAGAGAGAAATGGAGAAAAGGGAATCCTCATACACTGCTGGTGGGAACATAACTTGGTACAGCCACTATGGAAAACAGTTTGGAAGTTCCTCAAAAAATGAATAGAGCTACCAGATGGCCCAGAAATCCTCTTCTGGGTATCTACCCCCAAATTTTGAAAGCACTTTAAAAATATATATATTTTTTTATTGATTTCAGATAGGAAGGGAGGGGGAGAGATAAACATCAACAATGAGAGAGAATCATTGATCTGCTGTCTCCTGCATGACCATTACTGGGATGGAGCCTGCAACCCAGGCATGTGTCCTGACCAGGAATCCAACCGTGACCTCCTGGTTCATAGGTTGACACAAACCACTGCACCACACAGGCGGGGCAAAACCACTTATTTTTCCATGACATGGAAACAACTTAAGTGTCCTTCGATGTATAACTGAAAGAAGATGTGGTACATATATACAATGGAATACTACTCAGGCATAAAAAAGGATGGAATACTGTCATCTGAGACCATATGGATGAATCCTGAGAGTCTCTTGTTAAGTAAAATAAGTCGGACAGAAAAGGACAAGAACCATGATTTCACTCACAGGTGGGATACAAAACAGAAAGCAACAAACAAGCAAAACAAACTCATAGACACAGACAACAGTGTGGTGGTTACCAGAGGGGACGAGGAATGGGGGGAGGATGAAGAGTAAGGGGGTCAGATATATGAAGGAGACTGGACTCTGGGTGGTGAGTACACTGCACTATACAGATGATGTACACGGAAACTTACAGGGGTGATCAACAGCCCAGCCTTCCCACCTTCCTCCTCCCTCCCCGCTCCCAGGCGCCTCTCTGTCCCCTGCAGGCCCAGCACCTCACCTATTTTCACCTCCAGGTCCTCGTTCAGGAAGAGGTTGCCTAGCTTGAGGTCCCGGTGAATGACCCGGTTTCGGTGCAGGTACTGGCAGCCAAGGACCACCTGCCGCAGATAGTAGCGAGCCTCGGGCTCCGTCAGTGCTTTCCTCCGTTTGTGCAGTTCCAGGAGAGACTGGGGGCGGGGGGGGGGGGGTGAGGAAAGGGAGGAGGAGGAATGGGGGGTCGGTACTGAGGTCCAGGTGAAGGCGGTATCATTAGGTAAAGGCAGCCCCGGACACCCCCACCCCCGCCATTTCTTTTCCAGAACAGCTAGGATCTGGGCTCTCCCGTAAACCTGGCCGCACCGTTCATAGCACCCCCTCTCCTACCAGCTCCCTCCCAAGCCCCTGATGGGACCCCTCTCTCTAGTCTCAGAGTCCCCAGTCACCCCCTTCCCGGTCTTTCCGCAGCAGCAGGTCCCTTTCCCGAACCTCCTCCTACCGCCCTCTCCCAGACACAAGCCCAATCCGGAAGCTCCAGGGCAATGGCACCCATTCCCCCGGGCTCCACCCTTAGCAACTCCGGAAGCCCTAGCGTCCATTACCAGGGCTCCCCCCACCCCCACCCCCGCAACACCCCGCGTCCAGGAGCCAACTTCTCTGGCAGCAACAAGACTCGGGCTCCATTTAACCGAACCCCCTCCTCCAGTAGCTCCAAGCTCTGCCCAGGAGCTTTTCCACCGCCAGCTCGAGGTTCCCAGCGCCTCCTCCCCAGCGCCTCTCCTGCAGCTCCGGGTGCGGGCGCTCCACCCCGGCCCCGGGCAGCTCCAGCCTCCCAACAGGGACACTCACTCTCCGGCGGCAGAGCTCCAACACCACGAACACGAAGTCGTTGTCCTCGAAGAAGCCGTGGAAGCCGACGACATGCTGGTGGGCGAGGCTGCGGTGAATGGATATCTCCATGGACATCTTCTCCTTCTGGTGCGGCTTGAGCAGCAGCGACTTGGGCACGATCTTGCCCGCGAACACCTCCTTAGTGTCCGCGTCCGAGATCTCGAAGCACTTGGCAAAGCCGCCCTTCCCCAGAAAGCGGCCCCGCAGATAGCGCCGCCGGCTGCGTGGGTCCACTAGGACCTCCGGGATCTCTTTCCCCGGCGGGGCGGCCGCTGGAGCCCCCGGAGCTGCAACGCCGGGGCCGCCGGCTCTCCCTGGGTCGGCCGGTGCCCGCGCCAGCTTCCCTGCAGCCGCCGCCGCACTCATGCTCCCGGACTCCCCGAGCCGATCTAGCAGGGTCTGGGCAGAGGCTGACACCGCTCGGCTCCTCCTCGAATTCAAACGCGGCGCCGGGAACGTTACAAAGGTCTACGCGCCGCTGATTGGCCGCGGGGATTTAAAATCCAAACCCGCCCGCCGCGCGGCACTCTGGGTGCGCTCGGCCCCGCAGCCGCCTTTAAACAGCACAGCCCGAGCGGCGGGGAATTGGGGGGCGGGGAGGGGAAGAAAGGGTGTGTTGATTGACAGGGAGTCCGGGACGGTAGGCACGTGGGATGCCTGGGCCATAACCGAGCAGGAGTTCTGGGTTTCTCCCTCTCCGAAGCCCGGGAAGTACCTCCTCCAGGAAGCTTTCCTTAAACCTTCCTCCACCCCCACCCGTCTTCTAGAATATAAACTCCGAATAGAGACCCGAGAGCGAGCGTGGGAGAGCCTTAGAACCTGCCTCCCATGCCATCAATTTTCTTCCGAGCCACCCCCAATGAACTAAAATCCAAAACAGGATGCTTGCCATAAATTTGCATCTTCATGTCAAGGTCCCTACTCCTCTCCAAGTAACAGCTGTTTCTGTGACCCTGGCTTACAGAACAAGCTACTCAACCTACGGTCCAGGGACCACCATTACCATCACCTGGCAGCTTGTTAGACAACTTTTCAGGCCCGCTGCAGACCTCCTGAGTACAACTGCCAGGTGATTCCTACACATACTTAAGTTTGAGAAGCTCCATACCAGAGCCCCCCAGTGCACAAGCACGTGTGGCCTGCTCACTGCTGTGCTTCCCAGTGCCTAAAAGAGTAGACCTTCAGTGTTCGGTCAGAGGGAGGGATGGCTGGTTGGCAGACTGCCTGGCAAACTGACAGGCCAATGCCAACTCTGGCCCGCAGGTGTTTTGTTTGGCCCCACTTTATTTTTTTTTAGCCCCCCCCTCCCCATTTTAACATTTGGATTTATTTAAAGCACTTAAAAATCAAGAGAGCGCTCACAAAATTCAGACCCATGGCTTTTCCTGAAAAACAAAAACAAAACTAGCAGCTCTGGCAACTCTATGCCTGCACGATTTCCCATTCTGCCAAAGTTCCCAGCTCCCCACCTGCCACCTTTGACCATTTGCCTATCTTGCTACTGTAGATATCTGAATGGCAACCCTGGAGTGGCAAAATAGCCAAGTTAGAAGCCCTTTCTCTGTGCCCTGTCACCCTTCTGTGTCTCTGCTAGAGCCCAGCAAAAATCAGCCACATTGTAAGGACTCTTCACCTGCCTCCCAAAAAACTGCGCGGCAACGATGATGTCCTTCCTACCCCATGTCCCGAGCTCCCAGTGCAATGCCTGTAAAAGGGAGGGCAAATGTTTGCTAATGAAAGGGAGTGGCTTGTTTTTTAAATTAAGTCTTTTTTTAATCTCTGTGGTGTATAGTCTTCTATTTTCTTTTTATTGAAGTTAACTCTACATACAGAAAGAGAATACATATCATAATTACACAGCTCAGTGAATTTTCACAAATTAAACACCCCATGTAAACAGCACCCAGACTGAGAGAACGCTACCGATCCCTCAGATATCCCCCTTGTGTCTTGTGTAGGGGGTCCCCAAGACCACCCCCCAGTTCAGTGATTCACTAGGAAACTCACTCAGAAGACAGCCCTACTTATGGCCACATATGATGTAACAGAGAAAGGCTGTGAAGCAGAACCAGCTGGGGGAAGGGCGCACAGGCAAAGTGGGAAGGAAACCAGGCGCAAGCTTCCCCGAGTCCTCTCCCAGGGAAGGGGCACAGGACACACCGCGTTCCTCCAGCCATGCACTGTGACCACACCAGCAGAATGGGAGCTGGTTAGGGACTCGGTGCCAGGACTTTCACTGGGGCGGGCTGCATAGGCACCCTCCGCCTAGCAGACACCGAATTCCAGATTCCCACAGGGAAAGCAGGTATTCCGCAAAAGCACATCGTTTGTACACACAGTTTGGGCACAGGGAGTCACTCATCGTTTAGTGAATGATGAGAAGCCTCCTCAAGTCCAAGTTCCCAGTCGCCAGTCAAGGGCCAACCTTGCCAACAGGCCTTTGCAAGGCGAGCAGTCTCGGGCTGCTTTATTAACTCATTTCTACACAGTTGATCCTTGGCCCTGGGGCAAGGCTTCTTTGCAGCAAAGTTATTATCTGTAGGACCCACACAGGGGAGACCAATCTGCAGGACCGACCTCTGCTATACCTATTAGGGGGTCCTGGATTTAGCCGTTAAAATAAAATAACTCCCAGTAACCAGAAAAGTCTATCTTAGAAAGCCAAATGGCCTCCTCCTTAGTTCCTGTCTGGCACATTTTTACCTGGCCCAAGGCATCAACTCAGGTACAGCACAGTTGTGGCCTGTAAGTTCAAGCTCACCTGAAGCCTCCAGGGCCGAGCCATTGCGGTGATGGGCACAAAGCACAACCCCAGAGGGGCCATGTGGCCCCCTGAAAGTGAGTTTATGATGTTAGGGTACACCAAGAAGGACAGACATTAATCAGAAGTTAATAGCACCCCCAATGTAGGTAGCTCCCACCATGGGACCTCCTGACCTAGAGTTCCCAGGCCAGTATGAAAAATTCGTCCAGCCAAACTGGTTTGGCTCAGTGGATAGAGCATCGGCCTGCGGACTCAAGGGTCCCGGGTTCGATTCCGGTCAAGGGCATGTACCCTGGTTGCGGGCACATCCCCAGTGGGGGGCGTGCAGGAGGCAGCTGATCGATCTCTCTCATGGATATTTCTAACTCTCTATCCCTCTCCCTTCTTCTCTGTAAAAAATCAATAAAATATATTAAAAAAAAAAAATTCGTCCAGCCTAGCCAGTGTGGCTCAGTGGTTGAGAATCGACCCATAAACCGAGGTCATGCGCCCTGACTGTGGGCTTGATCCCCAGTAGGGGAAGTGCATGAGGCAGCTGATTGGTGTTTGTCTCTCTTCAATGTTTCTCTCTTCCTATCCCTTCTTCTCTTCTTAAAATCAATTAAAAACATATTAAAAATTTTTTGTTCAGTTCTTGGTTTTCCGGGGATTGCCTGAAGGCTGCATGGATGGAGTCCGTTCCCGTGTTTCATGTCCATGGTACCAGTTTATCCACCTCAGGAGTGTGGACAGCACTTGAAGGTGTTCTGATGGAGAGCGCAGGGGCCTCCTCTGTGGTCACAGTCAGTGCTGCCAGGTGCAGCCACAGACCCAGCAGTCTGAACGCAGAGCCCACTCGGTGCCTGGGAGGAAGCACTGGAAAGCTTCCAGGGAGACAGAAAGCTTCCAGTAATAGTTCTGACAAACAAAGATCAGAATGCTCTTCCCATCCCCAAGGCTCCCGGGTGCTAGGTTTCTGCTTTTTCTCCACTGTTACAAAATCAGCAGGCCACACCAATCAGCAATCCTAACTTTACATATATCCTTTTCTTTAAAAAATACTTTTATTTCAGAGAGGAAGGGAGAGTGAGAGAGAGAATATTGATCGGTTGCCTCCTGCATGCGCCCTGACCTGGAATCAAACTGTGACCTATAGATTCATAGGTCGATGCTCAACCACTGAGCCAGGCTGGCCGGGCTCTTTTCTTTTTTTGATGCTTCTTCAAACTTTTCTTTTTAATTTTACAATGCACACAGACATTACTCCATGCAACAGATGAAAATGTGCTACTGACACATAGAGGGCTGCAGTTGGATAGCAAGAATGACACCTAGAGCAAAGTCTAAGCATAAGGTTAAAGCCCTGTGCTTAGCAAATGCCTGACAGGGGACTACACGAGAGGAATGTCTTCAAAGCTCCTTTGTGGGGCCTTACAGCCACCCCTGAGTTCCCTTGGGTGGAAGGGGTCCTGTAAACTTTTTTGTATCCACATAACCTCCCTCCTCACCCCCCGCCCCAATTTCTGTCTGGCTTTCTTCACCTCATCCTCTACCCTAAGCAAACCCTCAAATTCTCTTAGCTCCTCAGGGCTCAAATGCATGTCCATGTAGGGCCTCTTTGTATTCCCTGAGGTACTGAGCCAGCCTCTTGTTCCTTTTCCTTTTGGCTTTTCTGGGTACATCATCCCCAGTTGGGTGCATCATCCCCAGTTGGGTGCTTTCCTGCAGCCCTTGGTTCAATGGCTGGTTCTCCTTTTGGTTTTTCATGACTGGCTCTCCCTAGCTCCCTGGCTCTCTGGCTCTCCCTGACTCCCCCTGGCTCCCCCTGGCTCCCCCTGGCTCTCCCTGACTCCCCCTGGCTCTCCCTGACTCCCCCTGGCTCTCCCTAGCTCCCTGGCTCCTCCTGGCTCCTCCTGGCTCTCTGGCTCCCCCTGGCTCTCACTTCTCCTCTAGTACTTCCTCCTGTCTTGTCTGTCCCTTGTTCTTCTCTTTCCCTCATTTCCTAACTTTTCCTTGTCTTCCCGCGTAGGAGCTCCTTCTGGCTTTGCAGCATTGAGGGGCTCTTCGTTGTCCAGCTCCCCTTGATTCTCAGGCATCCCTTCACTTTCACTGTAGAGCTTTTTCCTGTTGAGATGTCCCCTCCTTTTCCTGTCCTGTGGGAATTCTGGACAGGTTCCTTCTTTGCTAGTGCAGCCATGTGCTGAGAACAAAGACACACGGACCTTTTCCCCCCATGCCAATTCCTTCTCACTCACTCGTGTTCCTCAGGCAGCGACGAGGCCTTCGCACTGACCTGAAAGAACCTGAGAAACCATTCAGAGTTCTCAGCTCAGGGTCTGACCACAACCAAGGAGCTACATTTGTTCAATCACCTTATTCTCAACCAGTCCTTTCACCTGGAAGGATTGTACAAAAGAGGCATAAAAGCATTTAGCCAGAAAGACATGTTCAGGAGCTGGTCAGGCTATGTGAAGGCTGAGCTGTCTTCCCCAGATTCCTATGCTGAGCCCGGACCCCCACCACCTCAGAACATGACCTTAAAGAGGTGATCAAGGTAAAATGGGGGCATTCGGGTGGGCCCTAATCCAATATGACAGGTGTCCTTATGATAGGAGATTAGGACATAGGCAAGACAGAGTGGTGACCATGTGAAGATACAGCAAGAAGGTGGCCCTCTGCAAGCCAAGTAGAGAGGCCTCAGTAGAAACCAACCCTGCCAACAGCTTGATCTTGGACTTCTAACTTCCTGAGCTGTGAGGAAGTAAATCTCTGTTGTTTAAGCCACCCTCTCTGTGGTATTCAATGGCAGCCCTTGCAGATTAATAGAGGATGAAACTCTGAATTTTCAAAAATTTCAAAATGGGTCTACATAACCTCCTACCCTTTATCCACAGAGTAGCCTAGAAAAGATCAATCCCTTTCTGACACAGCTATGTATGAATCATCACCCTGCCTTCCTAAGGTGTCTGTGCCGGGGGCAGTGGGAAGGCAGAGTCAGGCTATCAACCCATTGTGGCAAGTTGCAGCAATCCAGAAAGCTGAACAGTGCAATAACCCCAAAGGAGGCCCAGAAGCTGATCTGTCAAAAGCAGACAGAGGGGTCACAGTCCCTGTAATGTGTCCTCCAACTGGCAGCTTTCGGCCAGGATCACAAGTTAGGATGCAATTAGCCACTGGTCAGAGATAAAGAGCTGATCAGCAGCTTGATTTTAGATGATCCCATCAGAGATCAGGCCCTTTTCTATGGCATTTGTATGTGATCCAAATTGCCCAGCCAGCATCTGCGACACACATTTTCATAATTCAGAGCTCCACAGAGGGGATCCTGAGTCTCCAGTGGTCCCAAGGCCTATGACTGCTTTCAGTCCAGCACAGCTCCCACTGAGGCTGGAAAGGCACAAGCAGCCAGTCTGAGTTTTCAGCTTCTTGTCGGGTGCCAGCAATCAGGATCAGTGAATTTGGGATTCCGAATGAGCCAGCTGCTTTTCTTCAACAGCAGCAAAGGTATGCTGCAGTGCCAGGTAGTCCAAATCCAAGTGACAAGCACAGCTTCCTTCTTATCTTTTTTTTAAAAAAATATGCTTTTTATTGATTTTAGAGAAGAAGGGATTGATGAGAAACACATCTATTGGTTGCCTCCGGCATGCCCCCTACTGGGGATCGAGCCTACAACCAGGCATGTGCCCTGACTGGGAATTGAACTGGTAACCTCTTGGTTCATGGGTCCATGCTCAACCACTGAGCCAAACCAGCTGGGCGCTTCCTTTTTATCTTGTCCGTCTTAGAGTCCAAACTGACCCACTCAAAAATATGCACATCAAACTGGGCAGTCATCAGCCAATCTGGGTCAGACATTTGATTTCAGCAAAGGCTCATTATCAATTTAACTGCGTTTTCAGTTTCCAAATGTGCATTTCCACCCAGAGATTGCCTCTCTGTTCCTGTTGTCTCCCGCTTTCCAGAGGCGCCAACAGACCAAGTCATAGCAACAATCATCAGTTATGGAGATTTGTTCTGGTTTCAATACCCAAAGAATTTAAATTCTAACTTGCTGCTGGCAAAAAGCAAGAAAGTTGTATACCACCACCACCTTCTTAATTTAATTGCAACTTTCTTTGATTGGGATGATTCCTCTAGCATTTATGAAATTATAAGCATATAACATTTCAAATCAACTTTGTCATATATCAAGATACAACAGCAACAAAAATACAAAACCATGTTTTAAAATTTTTTCCCTTTTTTCTCATGGCAAATTTATTCAAACCCCTAGCAGAAAATTCAGCATTTACAGGGCTTCCATTTGAGGCCTGCAACATTAACTCCTTCTGTTACACAGACCCTGTCCAGTAACAAACCCCAAGGGTAGCTATCCACTCTCCTAAGGTCAGTTTTTGTTTTGTTTTTTTTAAATATTTTTTTTAATTGAATTCAGAGAGGAAAGGAGAGAGAGGTAGAAACATCAATGATGAGAATCATTGATCAGCTGCCTCCTACACACCCCACACTGGGGATCAAGCCTGATCCTTCACATGTGCCCTGACCTCCTGGTTCATAGGTTGAAGCTCAACCACTGAGCCACAGTGCCCGGGCAGGTCAGAGCTTTAAGCAATGTACTCAACCGATAAAAATATGTTAGAATGTTTTTCATTCATACATTTAAAGGCCACTGAACACCCACTGCATGCCTGTTTTATTTGTTCCATTTAGAAACACTAAAAAAAAATGAAGCATTGAAGAAACTTCCTTTAATTCCTTTTCAATCTTTAACAGCTGTTTTCATTTCCCTTCTAATCCCTGTCAACATGGAGTTTCAATTTCATATAGGTGCAGTGATGCCCTGTTAATACAATCTATCTGCATAGTGTCAGTAAAAATACTGTAACAGTGAGCCCTTACTGAGCACCTACTATATGCCACTCATGGGGCTAGAAGCTTTACAGAAGTGACCCTGTTCAACCTTCACCAAGACCCCAGGAGAGAAGCATTATTATACCCATTTGAAGATGAGGAAAGGAGGACTTCTGGATTAAGTTACTCACCCAGGATCACACAGACACCAGGTGACAGAGCCTGAATTCCAACCCGACCCTGCTGACTCCAAAGCACATCTGCTGTCCACTGGCTCTCTGCACACTGCCTCCTTGGGCCTTGTCTGGCAAGCCCCAAACCCCAGACTCATTTGTTCACTCGCTCATTCCTTCCCCCAAAAAACAATGATATATTAGTTAAACTGATGGACTGCCCAGCCGGCACTGAGCGTCGACCTAGGAACCAGGAGGTCGCCATGCGATTCCCGGTCAGGGCACATGCCAGGGTTGCAGGCTCAATCCCCAGTGTGGGGTGTGCAG